AAGTGCAACGTACAGGACACTATGGGAGCCCTGCTACGTGTAGTACACAGGAAGGAACAGCATTTAGTTGAATTATTAACTGTATCCCTAAATTTGTCATGGATTTTATTTACTCATTCTCTTATTTTATTATTTTAATACTCAAGATTATACAAATTCATATACAGACATATATATATATATATGTACAAATATACAATTCTTTACTATCCTCTATACAGCTACTAGACAATGTATTACATGATTTTTTTTAAACAGGAATGAATTTATTGTTTATATTTTATCAGAATGTAAATGCAGTGGTGATAGGTATTGAGGGAGAAAACTATTAACAATCTCCACCTACAAAGTGCAGTATTTTGTCATTTGTAGTGTTTTATACTCATTTCCCAAGTGCTTAAGTTTTTAAGGCTTTTACAGCAATTCCCAAGCTACAAACTTCAGTGAGTGATGCTACATAGAAGAAATGATGTCTTCTATTTTTATATAACTTTTTTAGGAACTTCAAAATACTTGAGAGATGCAGCTTTCAGAGGTGAAATTAGCTAACACAGATCTGTGCCTGAAGTTTAACACCATTGCTAAAAAACAAAATCATTTGGTTTACCACAAAGGAAGATTATAGTACATACCTTCTCAACACCTAACATAAAAATTAGCCATGATATCTTTCTATAACAAACTGTAGCTGATTTAACTACTGACTACACTGGAGCAAGAAAGCAAGAAATTTTAATACTGATGAAGTGAAGTCTGTGTGTGAAAAGACTCTGACTACAAAACAAGATAATGATTTTTCAGGTATCCAAAGGATAAGCATAGCAATCTAACTCATTTAATCAAATCATTCTGGTTTTAATAGTTTTGTTAAAAATAAAGAAATTTAAGTAAAATCTGAAGAACATGAAAAATCCACGTAAAAAAATAACTTATCAGATATCATGTGGTATTTATGGCAGAGGGAAAAGCATCCATTTTCTTGCTTGAAAGCACAATTCTTAGTGTATCAGTATAGTCCAATTTCTCCCTTTAAAAAATAATTAAAACCCACTAGCAGCATGCAGCATTAGCACTAACAGCTGGCTGTAATAAGTTCCCTTGCATTGCTAACTGTGCACAAACTTATCAGTGCTTACTGATGAATATAAGGATCACAGTGTATAACACAGAACTAGAGTTTTTTACATGGTTTTCACTGAAGTTTAATTATTAAAATTTTTTTGGCTTTTGGTATAATATGCAGCATAATTTTCAGGTGCATTTTTAAAATCTGAGTATTTTAAATTGCATATCTTATGCACAGATGGTTTACTTTACATGCTTGAGTGAAATTATATAACCTTACAGAGAACATTTACCATTTTAAATCTGATTAAACACAATTCCAAACAAGGACTGGAAACAGTTTGATATTTGTACAAACATAGTCTTTTTAAAAGCATTATGCAAACCCATTTAGGCATTGCAAAAAAATGCTGAACTAAGAGACAGAGTACAATATTTATTTACATTCCATTATTTCAGTAAAATGATATGTCTCTGTTTTGCTAGTGAGGTTTAATTTTGTGTTTTGAATGAACAATGAAAAAAAACTTACAAAATTAAACCATTAAAAATAAAACTATCATCTCTAAGTATCCTAAACAGCCATATTTTTAATTAACTTTACTGAATATGAGAATAACTTAGTGAATGATGAACCCAGCCCTGTAGCACTGCTATACTGGAGTGGTTCTAACTTTTTTACCTTCTTAGTTTATTTTTTAGCAATCATATCTTTTAAAAAAATCACCTTATGTATTCAACTTCTTATTTTGCATTTTTAGTTCAGTAGTGGGACTACCTTCAGTCAGCTGTTTGAATGATCTTTCAGTCTGGTGCAGTTTTCAATCTATGACATCACATTTGATTTGTATGCATATCTCAGCATGGAAAATGAAATGTTTCATTTGTTTTAAGTTTTATTCCTTCTCTTTTACATGAAGATGTAGCCAGAAAGATCAACTTACAAGAGACTTTTTTCATGTTTATATAAAGCAATGATTGAAATTTTTTTAAATGTTTACATAAACATTTACAACATGTACATTGGACTTGTGTTTCTGTCGTTGTTTTGCTGGTGAGAGGCAGAAGAGTCAGTGCAAGTAAAAGCCATAAAGGTGGAACAGCCTGGGAGGGTAAAGATACAGAAAAAGAAACAGAATCCCAGGAAGACTGTGCCATACAATACTGAGTAAGGACCACATTGCTGAAGGTAAAGAAGCAGGGTGAACTCATGTCATACAGGAATCAGAGAAAAGAACCAAATGAAGAAGAGGAAGTCACAGTAGGCCACAAGGAGAGATGGAAAAAAGTAAGTTACAGTTCTCAGGGTCCTAAAACACACTTAAGTACCGTTTTCCTAATTTGTTCCCAGCTACCAAGGCTCTGCTAACTGCAGAATCTCCTTAACACTTTCTTCCCACAGTTTTACATCCATGGAAACTAAACTTCTGGTAGTCAGGGCTCTATCAGAGCAGAAAAATATATTACTACTATTATTAAGTGCACAGTCTTAGAGAATCCCAAAGCCAATAGTTTTTTAAAGGTAGATATCACTATATTTCACTCTAATCCTCCCACACTGGTCACTAATTCAGAATCAGCTTTTAATTAGATTTATTAAAAGAAAGAATATCTGTCTTTAGCTTGGTCTACTGTCTTGCTCTAAAAAGATTCTATGATCAATTTGATATTATTAGCAGCAAATTAAGCATCAGTTGTGTCTCACCAATAAATATGTATTGCGCCCAAGTCTCCACTGTCATGCAACTACAGTTTTAATCAAACTTTAAAGACTACAGACTTTATTTACAGTTGGTGATACTGAATGCATGTAGCCCAAAATCTTCATGATATATTGACTGACATTTTAAACCAGTGTTATAAAGTGTTCCTCATTATTATGTACTGTCAGAAAAAATACTAAAAAGCATATTGCTTTATGAAAAATCCTCTAAGTAATATAATTGTTATTTAACAGAACAATGGCATGGAATTGTTTTTTCCCCATTATATATCAGAAGCCTGTCATCCTAAAAGTAATTCTGGCTCCCACATTATAAATACACTTCAGTAATTCTATAGGCAATGCCAAAAAAATCAGCAAGTGCTCACTGACTTTTGCCAACAAAATCATGACTCTTTGCACAAGAATTTTCTTGCCATTTATAAACAAAGACATTTTGAAAGTTCACGCTGGTGATTGGCTATGGCAACTGATATACTTCACCACGAGATAAAGCATATAGCAAAACAGTGATTTATTACAAGCAGTAAGTATTGTACAATAACTCCGTTTAAACATATAACATCTATGTTTTTAAAAAGTTATTCCAGATTATACTTAAAATAATCTATTTCACTAAATACCATAGAATCTATCCACTGAATATTTAGGAATCAATTCAAATTACATAAAAAAACTATCCTGTAGCATTATCAAACAAGTAATGACAGACTACAAAAACTGCAAAGTCACAAACCTCTAAGGCTAAAAGATAATGTTGACTATTTTATCAAAAGGCATCTTTAACGCTAAAATTCTCATTGGTATGGAACAGACTAGACATTTCTGACAAGACTTCTTCACCATCTACTTGCTCTTCAATTCTGTGATTCCTCAATGTCAGAACACAACAATGGTCCATCTAATTGGTACAGCAACTGCAGCATGCCCTCTAGAAACTGCTCTGGCATTGTGCCTCACCAGTTCATACTAGAGCTTGACACTGCACCTTTTTTCCACTGGCCTCACTCTGGTGATCACCAGAAGAGAAGCACCACAGGAAGGAGTGTCCTAACTGGGTCAGCAGCTAGATTCCTCTCCAGCGATGCACCAGCCACAGTGTTTTCTTAAATACTATAACTAGAGCTAATTTAAACTATTGTTAGGCTCTGTTTAAAGACTGGATATTGCAGTTGCAACTTTTATGTATGTTCCCATCACGGAATGAGGTGAGAGAACACTATTTTAGTTGCTAAATCTTAATAACATCTAAGAGTCAGGAACACTTCAAAACATGCTAAATATTCACTCACTGATTCTTCTTTGCCCAGGAATCAGGAAGTTCACTGGGGATTAATACACATTCTTCTCCATCTTCCAAATTTTATGCTGGTTTTTTTTTTGCTACCTGCAGAATTTCATCCTCTATTAAACCATAAGAATGCAGTGAATAGCAAACTAACAGAGTATTAAGTCAACTTTATCTTCATATTCTTGCACTTCTATGCATCTAGCAACTGCTAACATTGCATATGTTTAACACAAAAAAAAAAAAGAAAAAAAATTGTTCCATGTTTCTGCAGCTAAAATCTGAGATTTAGTTGGGTTTTTTTCTGGTTTGGGTGGATTTTTTTTACAGTTTTCTGAATTCTCAATCAATTTTCTATTATTTCTATTTCTCATCAGAAGATCACCTTACTAAAAATAAATTAAAATATTAATAAAGAACTCGAGATTTGGCTAGTGAAAATGTGTCCTGTCAAGTCACACTTCTTTGTATAACAACATTCATGAAGACACACACAGTGATTAAATAAATAAATAGTGCAGATTAGTGTACTTATATTACAGAGAATACAGAAAATTCTAGTTTATAATACTTCTGTGCTGACTCCTAAGTCATGCTTAGTCTACAAAAATCCAAAACAAATAAATAGAACTCCAGTTCCTAAACAAAATAATAAACTGACTGAAACTGTACCCCATACTGTCAGTATAAATACAAAGAAGTAGAAGTCTGTAATTTTTTTCTTCATGTTTACTTTACAACGTGCAAGAAAAGGTTAGGCTGCCATTTTCCAAACTCACTGAGTAAACTGGTCACATAACTCCTATTAAATTTAGTGCAAGTTATTTAGCTAAATCTCTGGTCATCTTAACTTACATTTTAAAAACCTGTCACTACAGCTAAATTCAGCTCTGAGAGATAAAGGAAGTAACTAACCACCCTTACCTCATTAAACCTTGTCACAAGGTCTTCTACAGCATTATGTTCACCATTGGGAGAAGAAAGAATGGTAGCAGATATGGAAGCCTTAATAGATGGCAGCTTGCTTTGACATTCAGCATTACCCAAATCCCTGGTTAAAAAGCAGAGGTAGTCAATGGGTAAGACTTTCCGGTAGAGCTCTTGCTCCTGCTCGGTCAGAATGCTGGCAACCTCCTCTGGGAACTGGATGAGGTGCTGCAGTTCGATCAGCTCTTTGCTGATCCCAGCAACGTTGGAGGGAAGGATGCTGGAGCCAGCCATAGATGTACACGCTTGACGTTCTAAAACAAAATAAATTAAAAATTTATTAGGTTTTGCCTTTAACTCTTGGACTGTGCTGTGCAAACACAAGACAACTTGTTATTTTGGTTTTGCTAAACTGCTCATTCATTTACTCAGCAATACACTATATCCTAACTACTTTCTTTATATTTAAAAAACCTAATATGTTCTTTTATTTGGGTTTTTTCTGCCTATCTCTATATCTGGTATTAGCTAGATAGCTACAGCTGGCAACTAGGGCTTGTGAGATTGTTAAACCACCTGCCAAAACATACTTCCTGACATATCCAAACACCTGCTTCAGGCACCTGTGGCCTTGTCAAAACCTCAGACAAAAGGGTCACGTGGGCAGTGTGCCTCTGTTTTGCCTCCATATTAGAGTGACGGTGCAAAGCAGTTTGAGGCCTTAATTGGGGCACTGAGACTCCACTGCCACAAAAAATAATGTATAATGATCACTTAAAAATCATGTGGTCAAGTATTTTTCTTCACATCCCTCTTGCTATAAGATAAAAAACTGTAAAACCAAATGCCAAAGTTACAAAACATTTTTCATTCCTCTCGGAAAAGGCATCTATCTGGGAGTATGCATGTTTTATCCATCAATACCAAACATTCATGGTAGTTTTATAATATCCTAGCAGTGATATCTCTTGAAAAATAAAACTTTTCCTAAGAAGGAAGAAGCCAAACTTTGTAAGATTATGTGGGAAGCATGAAACATCAACACAATGATTCCAAAACCGTGAGTATGAGTCTTCTTACTAGATAAGTTTAGAATGGGTTCTTTGAACAATTTTTCAAGAAATTGTCATAGTACTGTAATAGTTGATTAAAGTTAAGGTGAATAATTTGTTCATCAAATAGAGTTTGATTTAATAGAGTTTACAATAAGTTTTATAATGACTAATAAAGATAAGAATAATTGATTTACTAACCGAATTAGGCTCTGTTATAATGAAGATAAAACTAACACTTTTATTAAAAGTTGCTGAGTACCAAAAAAAAAAAAAGAGGGATGAGATAAATAATTTGCTTATCAGATAAAGTTTGCAATAAGTACTATAATGATTAATAGAGATGAGTAGATGATTTGCTAAGTTTAAGCTGACATTTCATCAGAGTCATTAAGTGTTAAACTGCATAAATGTTAAACTGCAAACTTATATCCTGTAAGGCTGGCTATAGGTAATGTCAAACCACAAAAGCTATGTTGCTATAGTGATAAGTTGAATAAGATATCCTGTTATTTTAAGGTGTCTGTTTTAATCATACCTATAAGGAAAAAGCGAGAAGCAAGATGAAAAGGTCAACCATAAGAACTATGGAGGGGAACTACTGTCTCCATTAGGGAAATTCCAACATGGTTGACCTTAAAGACTATAACCTAACGGAATTAGTGGTTAACCTCCCTCAGCAACAGGACAAAGCCCGCGAAATGGAAACCAATGTCAAGAAGGCCCGTGAAATGGAAACCAATGTGGGTAGAGCCCGCGAAGCAGGAACCAATGACAAGATGACATGAGACTGAGGGGGAGGTGATTGTAAAGGGTATAAAAGATGGGGTTTTGGCTATTGTTCTTGCGGACCGCTGGTGAAGCAGGAGGCTTCCCGGTCGCCCAGCATGCTGATTTGCTTATTTGCCTTTAGTAAATACTTTGATATTTTCAAATTAAAATTCTTTGGTCTATTTGACTATAACAGTACTCTAAATTAAGTAGTACAGTAAAGTATGTACTATTCCTCATTCTCAGAAAAAGGAGTTTATTTTTTTGCATTGCTTCAGAAAATATCTTCAGAAATTTTTTTCACACATAATAGAGGTACACTCTAGATCTATCTTTTACCTAATTTTAAAAAAATATATATACATAAACTCTCATTTCATGGAGGGAGCAAATATCCTTTCTTTTCTTTAAAAAACCCCAAGTTCATAATGTCTGATTACAATTCAATCCCTTATAATAAACACAAAATGTGCTACATGAGGTTCCCCCGTTACATTCATTTTACACAAAGCATTATTAATCAGTGGGAAGTTACAGAAATAGAAAATTGCCTCTTCTTAATATATTCTATTAAAAGTCAAAAGATAAATTATAGTAGCCCTAAATAAAGTCTTTGGGCTTATAGAACCTATTGAGAAATGTTCAAATAAAGAAGAGGCTTCTGAAAGAGTGAAGACAAATTTTTTCTGTTTCTAGACTAGCAAGCAAAAAAACTAGTGGACTTAATTTGCAACAAGCAGTGTCTTGGTTATATAGTGGGGAACATGTGCAACTTCAATGACGGCTAAGAAGTGTTGTACAATATCTGTGAATATCGAGAAATCTCTGTCATTGAGATGCCCGCAAGAAAGATCAGGGAGAAAAAGACAGTTAAGAACACCACATTGACATGTCACTGCTGGTTTGGGCAGCAGGTGAAGTGCAGTGAGCTTCCAGGCTTCCTTTCAATCTTGTTTGCTTCAATTCTACAGGAGACTCCAATTTTGTTTCCTACTTCAATCTGCACAGAACAATTCTGAAATGTTTCGTAATAAAAAGCTCTTAAAGCTCATGTGCACTGTTCTTGACAACAGAACATAAGCTTACGTCAAAACAAAACCAACACAAAATATAATGTTCCTTTTATATTAGAAGGATTATGTATTTACACAGTGCTTTACATATATGGACTGAACTGTCACTGTCACAACCTGCATTATCTCGGAAAGAGGAGGATAAGGAAGGCATGACACAAACATTCACTACCACCCATTTGTTCCCAGAAGTCACAATGCCTCGCTGACTCCCCACGCATGACACCTCTTCTCACTCAAGGCAGAGAAAGTACAGCCTGTACCAGCCTCTCCTGTGTCTCACCGCTGAAACAGAGGGTATATCGGTTGTGTTTATGTTGTGAATTTATTTTAGATCACAAATGCACTTCTGAAGCGAATCTCCCAAACATCCTCCCTTACTGTGCTTTAGTTTAGTCTTAGAGCAAATGAAGTGGATCCTTTTCAGATGAAACTGCACTAGAAGATGCACTTCCAGAAGGCAACTAACACATCCCAGTTGGTAAAAAGCTGTAGCTGTCAGTGGCATCCGATCTCTGGAGCAGGCACTGAGGTCAGGAATGGACAGTTGGACCAGACAGCTCAGATCATGGCTCAGCTGCAGCTGAACATGTACCACAGGAGACAGACAGCAAGTACCATGGACAATGCAATGCCAGATCAATACCGGTGCTTTGCAAATTCAACCTTATTTGGTAACTACAGTTATAAACACTTTATATCTATCAATATTGCAGGAAAGGAAGGCATAACTATAAGGAGTGCCTATTCTGATGGAACAGAGGTAACATGTGAGTGAAGATGTGCTGTTCCCTGATGCTCTGCTTGCTGATGAGATTTAGAGGTGTATTCTCAATAATTCACCTTCTCCATTACAATACCAACTACAAAACCCATCCACATTCCCACTTTCCACAGTCTTAGAACTCTAGCTTTGCTCAAAGACCTCTAAATCTGGAAAAGGTTGACACTGAATTTGCAATTGGCTGATCATGATCCTTTGTACATTGCAAGTATAATTACCCTTCAGGGTCCACTCACATCTAAGAGCAAGGCTCAACACACTGAAGTGACCAGAGTTAGAAGGCTGGCTCCAAAGCACGCCTTCATACTGCCAGAAACTACTAGGAATATCTCATTAGAATTCAATTTCACTAGACTGACTGCCCATTGATCAAGTCCCGCAGAAACCTAATGCATGATTTTGAAAGCCTTTAATGAAACTACCTTTAATGAAACCATCATCTTCTGTCATGAAGGCTTCACAAACCAGCTTCACTCTTCTGGAAAAATGAAGATGTCAAAAAGAAAATCTTTCCATAGAAGCTAAGCTAAGAGGATTCAAAATCAGTCACTTGTGTTGCTGGATTTGGAACAAGATAGAAAATAGATAAAACACTTTCTGATTCAAAACACTGAATTTCAAACTAGCATCTCTCAATTCTTCATTAAACTGGAAGAACTTTATGTAAATTCCCTCTGTAATGTAAGAGTCCATACAACAGGCTGCTGCAGCTGATATCCAATGACAGGCACACAGAACAAACAGAAATCTGAAGACTCAGAGCTCATGGCTAAAGTATGGCTATAAATACTGAAGAAGTAGAAATATAACTTATTTCTGTTGACTGTTTCTACACCTATAATTATTTATTTCTTCCATAATTCACATCTTTGCAAGTCTTGGTTGTTGGCGTAACTTACCTCTCCAGATTCAGATTTTTTATCTTTTCTCATTCCAGTCTTCTGTGTTTTATCACAGAAAATCCAGGATCCTGATTCTCAGTTTCACCGCCCTTCATGATTTACACTCTGCACAAAAGTCTACTCCTTTTTCTGTCTCTTTGCCTGTACTAAACTATCCTTTTTCCTGGACTATCTTTTGGTCTTTTTTTTTTTTTTTAATATGCTTAAGACTTTGGCCATTTTTCACTCCAGGAACTGATCTGTACTTCTCTATTTCTGCTATAAATCTCTCTATCCAGTCTCATACACAAGTCCTCCAGCTTTGTGTTGTCAGTTTATGTCCTTCAGGAAACAGATAGTATCTTTCTGCACTTCAAAGAAAGATTAACTTGCAGAATGAAACTGCTTTCAGGCCAAAACCACAGTAGGTTTTTTACAGCTAGGGAAGGACACAATCCTCACTAAAATTAGCTGCTGCTGCAGTAAATGATATTGTTCTTCGTGCTCTACCACATCAAGTTAATGTTAAAACTACTACAAGAAAATGAGGGTCCTGACTACTAATTTGTAAGTTGTCTAAAGCTGAAATTGATAGCTTTGCTTATCCTGTTGATAAACAGCTGAAGCAGATAATCTTTTAAATAGCAAACATTGCTTTTATTAATCAAAACAAGACAACCTCTACCTAGCTTTAAAAAAGGACTCATGAGTTGACTTGAGCATTGTTGATGCACAGAGGAACAAAAAGGTCTC